GACTGCACACAAGGTTTACGACAGGGCATTTTTTGAATAATTTATTGGTAAATCAATAAGATCAATGATTATTTGATGGCGGTGTATAATTTGTTTATGGGTAATTGAGTAATTTTATTACGTCTGTAATTTAGGCAAAACAAATATTTTATAAAAATTCATAAGATGTGGTTTCCTGTTGTCCAACAGGAACGTCTAAAATCGCTGTAAAAATATTGGCGCATGAGTAAAATATAAATAAGAGTAGACAAATTTCAGTAGTTGCAATGAACTGCGCTTAGCCTACCAGTATACAAAATCTATAGCTTCTTCTTAAATTGCAATGATTGAACAAAGTGATAAATCAACCAATAGTAAATAAATACAATTGGAAACTTTTCTTAAACTCGAACAAGGTTTTTAACCAAGGCTGATACACTTTTTATCATACTCAAGATAAGAAGCGATCTTTCCTTCAACCACTTCGTGATACTGAAGTCATTCGGACTACAATTTTTTTACAACAAACAATATTCTAACTAATCAAAATCGGAATTTCCCAGGGTATCCTACTCGTACCAGTATTTTATTTGATGTATTGAGTTGACTTGTTTATGTGCAATGGCACTTAAGCAACATAATATACATATATACAGCTATTGTACAATCTCACAAAAAGCCTAACATCGTAGAGTACGGAACTGGTTAAATAAGTAGACAATGAAGAAACACATGTTCGTTAAACTTTTAGTAAGCGAGATAAAATGCATGCCAGTATCAGTGTCGCCAACCGTACGATTTAAATCTTATTTATACGATTTTTTAACTCTCTGTACGATATACGATCGCATCAGTGAGATCGTACGTAAAAATGCGAACTTTCCTTTTTTGGTAGGTTCATCTAAATATCTACAAATTAATTCAAAACATAAAACAATATTAAAATCAAAAACAACTTGCAAAGATTCATACTTTCATTCCACTTATACTAGTCTAAGATACGAAGTAAGGTTGACCTTTGCCCATCTGATTACCGGATGAAAGTTTTTTTATTAAATAAAATATGTTTATAAATATACCGCATATGGGTATAGGTTGCCTAAAAAAATACAACCAAGACTATTTATTTTCTTAAAGTAAAAAAAACCGACACCCTATAAGGTATCCCCCAGATGCTTTGACTATGTCCAAAATTTAATCAGCTCACTGCAGGATGGATTAAAGCTTAAGTTTAAAATTTGGTGTTTTCCTCTTTATCCGTTTGAGTATCTTCACAATTTTAAATTTGCACATTCCTTCAAATATCTCGAATACGGTTCATTTTAGGAAAATCACGTATAGGACCAAAATTATAGAGAAAGACATCACAAGCAACTTTTATGATGATTTGTATACTTTCCTTATATGTATACAGAAAGGAAAGTAAAAAATAGCCCCGTCAGTATTTTTTTAGGCAACCCATTTGCGGTATATTTATTAATATATTTTATTTAATAAAAAAATATCTTTCAGCCGAGTTGATCTTACTTCGTATCCTGTACTATAATGAGTTAAAAATAACAGATAAACAAATCTATCATGTCAAGTTTTTTACTTTTTCTTGTATTGTACGATTTTTTGTCGAAAAATCGGCTAATATGGCATTTTTCTACTATACTTGTACGATATCCCAAAAAAAAAATAGTTGGCAACACTGGCCAGTATTGAATCATCAACAATTCGTGTATTAAGAAGACACCTCAACAGCAAACATATTTCTATCAAGTGAAAACGTCTGGAATTCAATTATAATACAATAATAAACTATAATGGCTAATCGAAAGTGACAAACATCATTATTAAACAAAGTCTTAATAATATAAAAACAATCTTAAAACCCATATGGAGTTAGCTTAAATTCCAATGTAGAAATCACAAACTTATTGTGGTGTGGTATGGCAGGTACCAAATGAGTTCATTAGGTGTAATATAGAAATCAAGACTTTAAAGACACAACATATTCCAAATATTTACTATGTGTCAGCAATTCAGCAATAATTTATTATTGTACTAGGTAAATAATAAAATTTTTAATTATATATTTTCGATAATAAAAGATTATTTTAAGTTTCTGTGGTAAAGTTTTTGGTTTTATTAATTTAAATAGATTTGTTCGATTAATTTGGGATCGTGGTAGACGTGCACGTGATACTTGCGCCTTCCAAGAAAAAGTGTGGTACTTGCGCCCACTACCGGTTTCGCCCTCTTTGGAGCTCATCAGGTGAGAAGTAGTCAGTTTGAGTAGAATCTACTATAGGTTGACTTAATTTCCTGGTTACGACCTGATGATGGTCCGAAAACGTAAAAAAAATCATTAAAAACATATTGTTCTTTGCATGCATGCAAGGAAGAAGGGGAAAATAAAAAATACACACCCTCAACGCTGATTTACTTACTCCATGAGCTAAGAATTGTTACATGCTTTTTAACCATTGTAATCTTTAACTAAGCTTTATATATAAAAAAGGCTAAATAATGCATAAAAATATAAATAAAAATACTGAAGAAGGCTCATACAAGAGCCGAAAGCTTTACATCTTCACCATTAACAAAAAATTAGTTTTACTTTAACTTAAACACCTACAAACCAAGAAAACCGAAACCAGAAAATTCAATAATAAGGTGTAAGAACCAAAAGAACATAGAAGCTTAATAAGATCGATATTAGCCTACGGATCGATTCTGTATCACAGTACATCCAGAACAGAAACTAATAAAATCGAAAAAATTCAAAATAAATGCATTAGAGTGTGTGGTGGATATCTTAAAAGTACTCCAATAAATATAATGGAAGCGGAATTCAAAGAAATGCCATTAAAACTTAGAAGGCAATAATTAGGGGAAAAGTATATTCTGAAACTTACAGCTAAGCTAGTAAATAAAATAGCGAATCTATCAGCCTTATGTAACCACCACAAATATTGGATTTACAAAATAGTACCTAACCTAATGGAAGCATACGAGAAGACTAGAAACTTTTTTTACTTAAATCCATAAAGCTAAAAATTTCCCAAAATACATATCAAAGCATGAAATATTCGATAAAACCACAAAAATAATAATTGAAGATTATCCCAAAGAAATCAACTATGCTAAACATGTGGAAATTATAGAAAAACAGCTAGACGAAAGGTGAAACATTTACTATCAAATTTTTACTAATGGATCACTAAAAGAAGATAAAGTAGGCTGTGCCTTCTACCACAAAAATTAAACAAGGAATTCAAATGAAAAAACCGAGGAGCTCGCAAAAAACGCTATTCGCTGTGTGCAAGACTGGTAGCGCTCTCTGGTGACGGGATAGCGACAGTTCTCCTCATTCATTCCCGCATACTTGCTATACACCTCACACTCAACAGTTGAACTTGAAAATTCTTTTTCAACAATTAAGTGTTGCAACAATTAAGTGTTGCAACAAGTTTTGTGTTCGCTGTTAGTTGATAGACTAACAAAAATTGTTTCTGTCGCACAAAAAGTAAGTAAATGACATAAAAATATTTGGAGGTTATGCATACGAAGTATCTGCGTTTTGAATGTCATAAATCAATGTAATTTGTCTGTATTTTTAGATACTACATATTTGTCATGAGTGTCATCTTGTACACTGGATTTGAGAAAATATCTCATGACATAAACTTTCTGCCTGAAACGCCAAGAAAAGGAAATATTGTCGGTACATAACTTGGGCTACTTTCTTCTTCTCGTTTTTTATTTCCAATAAAATGACCACTGCATATATAATCATTCCGTTTTGGCACCCAAGGTGAACCATCAGCGCTGTGGAAAAACCATTAAATCTATTACGTTATAAATAATTTATTTATCACTATTACTTGAGCATTCAAATACCGCTCCTACTTTCGATGTTTATGATATATATATACGACAGAGGTTATGTTACTCACTTTTTTCTTTTCACAGCTGCTATCCATTTCTTTCTTTGCTCCAATTTATGTGATGCGGTTGGAAACATATAAAACTTACACGCACTATTTTTGCTAGTGTTTTTACACTCGACAACACTACAATAACGACGACTCATTTTAATACCCAACACGAGACCCACAACACGCTGCCGCGCTACTACGATGATGTGGACAATCGCCGACTCCTGCCACCATAGGCGCTGCGATAGCTCAATCTATCCCCTCCAAGCCAAATGCACACAGCGAATAGACCAAGGGTACAACATCGAAAACTTCAAAATCCCAGTCTCAGATATCTTTCACCCAAGTAAACTGAAAATTATAGAAAAGTGGCAATCACAATATGAAGAAACCCCTACTGGTCAAAACTAAGAAATATTACAACCCAAAATCGCAAAACAGTTATGGTTCAAGAACCACCATTCAAAGAATTTCATCCGAGTATTATGTAGATTGAGGAGTAACCACGCACTATATCCTGAATACCTCCACATATTTGGACAAACAGCCGATCCAAACTGTTCCTGGGGAGAATAAGAAAATCTGGAACACATCATTCCTCAATGCCCCAACAACAATCAAGAAATTGGTAACCTTTGCCAAAATATTATGAAATTTACAACTTTTCCAGTAAATCTGCCTTGTCTACTGAGCAACAGTAGGTGTAATTTACCATTATATCAATACATAATCAAAGCTAATATTAAGCTATAAATAAGAGAATACCAAAAGCACCATTATACATTTATGTCTCCCTCCCCTCTGTTTAACCACCCAAGGATTAACACCTGTGCAAGTTTAATCCCACCCAGGAGATAGTCTGGGCAAAAAATGGTTCCTATCTTGTGTCCTGTGTCAAAAAAGGAGGTATGCTTTATGGTAAAATCAAAAACTAAATTAATAAATTATGGTTGTGATCGTGTTGAGGTATCTTCTTTAGCCTTTTAGCCAACCCTGAGACTGGGTGGAAAAATATAATTTAAATTAAAATATGCTATTAGAACAGAGCCAATCTTGCAATAGGTAGTAAAGATAAATAAAATTAATTAACCTTACCTTTGTTTTCGTTCTACATGTTGGGCTATAAGATTACTGTAATAATTTTCTAAAGTGACTTTTGCTTTGGTTGCTTTGTCCAGGGTGTGGACACTGAAACGGATGGTGTTCTCCGTGGCGGTCATGTCCAGGACCCCTGAAAAAAAAAACAATTGTTAGAATTATGGTAAATAAAACAACAATCACTCAGCGCGTTAAAATTTGACAGTAATTGAAACATAACTAATTTGTTGTAACGGAATTGGGGTTGTTATTGACAGATTTCCAAATTCGTTATAATCGTAATCGATATTTTTCTTCCTTCTTTCTTACTCTTAGGGTTACGACATTTACCGTACAGGAGAAAACTTAATAAGGACAGATGAAGAAAAGATTTTAGGATGTATTCTAGTACACGCACTGCGTGGCGTCTTTCAGACCAATGCTGTATTATGGCTTAAAGGAAAATACAGGAAAATAGGCTGCTATTTTTCTTATATGAGTGACTTTTGAAACGGAATTTTGGCATTTTCGAATGAAATAAAACAAGCGATATTTTTTCTGGTGAAATACGAGGGTGACCTATTTCTAAGTAGTAGCTTGATTAATGTTTTTGACAGTTAGTTAACTGACTTTTTTAGATCACAAAATATCAACTTTGTATCTCAAAGCGTTGTTGTGCTGTGGCTAACTCTTGAACTGTTTATTGTATCAGGGACATTGTGGTGCACCACATATTGAATAAAAAAATAGATATGAAAAAGATGAATGCAAGATGGGTGCCCCGAATGTTAACCAGTGATCAAAAAAGAAATCGGGTGTTGACTTGTGAACGACTTTTCCAAATTTGTTAGATAATATCACGTTTTAATAAGTATTTTATAAAGTGCTAGTGATTTAGAATATAGAACATCGGTTAATAATTTTATTCTAGGCATTCCATTGTAAATCATATAAAACTCAATATTAACAGGTAAAAACGTTTATTTATTTAAAACAGTTTATTTATTTACTTTATACACTTTTATGCTAATTTATTTTATAACTAATTTATCTGTACTTATTACTAATTTGTATAGATATTTACTTAAATACTAATTTATGGGGACATTTACTATATCGATCTGCTCACAGTTATGTCTCGACTTTAACTAATGACTTAAATGCAAAATAATTCTATTTTATATACCTATAAGTAATGATGGATTGCACATTCTGGTGAATTCGCGAATATTTCACAATTTCTTACACTGGCCAATGTAGTGCATTCGCCATTTTCTACACTCTACCCGAATCCCTCGTAATATTAAGTTGGGTTCTGAAACAGGTGGGACCATAAATAGGCTCAAACAAGGCAGAGATAGACTTAAGGGAATAGAAAAATGGCTCGCATTATATTAATTAAAAAGTATGAAATAATTTTAATAATTGCCAATAAATACTCTGTGGTAATTATTTTATTTGGTATCTAATAAAACAATTAATAAAGGGCGGCCTTTAAACTTTCTATTCGAAATACGAACACTTTTCAGGATCACACCATTTATCTAAACTATCTCTAAAAATATAAATGCTAGTGAAACAATTTAATTGACAGTTCAAATTGCAGCTCGCACTGTGATTTCGAATTTGTAAAAAAAATTAGAAAAGCGACAGCTCAGATTTCAAAGTATAAAAGCTCATCATGATTAGAAAAATACAATTATTTAAGTATAACAGTATATTCTTTAATAAAGAATTTCTTGTGAGTTGAATACTATACTTTTTTTATGGCTAAAGCATTTTGAATTAGTTTTTATAATTTATAGAATTAAAATGAGAACTCTCTGGATAATTGTTTAATGTTTGACATTCCAGGGCCCCCATGATTTTATTAAAATAATTAGAGATTGACTATTTTTTATAAGATAAGGATCTGACACGGAAATGATTACTTTGTCATCAGAATTATCAAATATTTCTTAATCAACAATAGTTGAGAAAGTGAATTTTGTTTTATAGTCGTAGAAAAAAGTAATTTGGAAACAAATAAATAAAGAAAATATGTCTATTTTATTTAATAATGATTAAAGGAACATACAGTCTGTTCGCTATACTTACGCGGGTTTCGGATTAACAAAATTATGCAAATTAGTCATTGACAACCAGTTCCAATAAGCCTCTTCCCAAGAAATTGGGTAAAATTGCCCTAATGGTCAGATTAAATTAAAATAACATTAGAGTAGGTACTAAATTTGTTACAAATATTGCAGTTGAATTGATTCTTTGCAAGTTTTGACATTGTATGTATATTGTAAATTTAGTGGAAATTTTAAAAATGCCTAGACGTGTGTTAGATTCAGATAGTCTAATTTGTAGTGTACATAAGTATTTTACGGATGAAAAAGAAAATGGCGGTCCTTTAAAATCGGTAATGTCGGTACAACAAGGCGTATGCGATGCTCTAGGAATTAGTGAAACCGAATTAAGAGGAGTATTACAAAATCACAATAGTGAACTGCCGAAAGAAGATCACCGCAAAACTCGCCCATCATTGAAAACGAAAGATATTTCAGATGGAAAGAAACTTGAAATTCGTGATACCATTTATCGAATGAGGGCTAACAAGGAACATGTGACCTTAAATACAATTCTCTCAGAATTAATAGATAGAAAATTTGACGACATTGGCAGAACAAGTCTATGGCAAGTGATACATAACTTGGGTTTTAAATTTCAAAAGGAGGATAACAGAAAGGCCCTTTGTGAAAGAAGTTCTGTCGTGCACAAGAGAATTAACTTTCTAAGAAAATATTCTAAGTTTAAAGAAGAAGGGGCGAATTTTATATATTTAGACGAAACATGGATATTTTCTATTTCAAATTAAATAATATTTAAAAAATTCCTACAACTAGACGAATAGAAATTAAGAGCTGAAATTCAGCAGAGCTTTTTACCCTTTTATTAGTGAGGACTGGGACTGGGATTTTGAAAATAGTTAATTTTTAATACGATTTCCATGGTCTCATTTTACTATAATTAAAATACAGATAATCAAATCATTTAAAATCGTATTAAAAATAAAGTATTTTCAAATCCCATACACCCAGCCCTCACTTATAAAAAGGTGAACACCTCTACTGAAATTCAGCTATTAATTTCTATTTGACTGGTTGCAGGAATTTTTTAAATAATATTAATTTTCCGACCGCAATGTATACATTTTCGGCCAATGTTAAAATTTGGTGAGACTCTTTTTGACTGAATGTAAATCACTGTAAATTAAAACGTTCAATTTGTCCTATTTTAAGCTTTCATGTATTTTCGAGAATAAGGTATTATGTTTCTCTTAATTAGTTTATTCTGAAATAACTTTATTTAATAATAAAACTGAAAATATCGCAAAATATGTAAAAAAACAAAAAACATTATCGTTCAATAAATGTAAAAATCAATCAAAACAAACATTTACTTCGATAAACAATAATTACTACATTATTAGAAAAGATTAGGTTTTACCTACCTAAACACTCTTTTTTTAATTACTTTGACCCCTAAGGATCATTGACAGATATTAATCTATTAGTACATTTTATATATTAATTAGTAATTTATCTTATAGACCGTCAGATAGTGCCCATTTTCGCATACAAGCCTCGAAGAGGGTTGAAAAGTACATCGATGTTGAGTAGAATAAAAGAAGATTTACGAGTGGCTCTTGGGGATAACACATGGAAAATTCGATTCATTATAAAAATAACTGGATGTTATTTATTAATTTTGTATTGTGTATTATTTAGTTAAAATTATAACTTGTGTCAGTAATAAATTTAGTAGTATAATTAACTGTCAAATATATTTTTTTCTTATTGTGAATGCTACGCTGGGTTTACTATCAATTCACTTTTTAGGTATATTACATCGTTATCATGTCTATTTTACCTAGGATTGGTTATAGCACAAAATTAAATTGATGAAATATTGGATAGAGATTTGGGTTAAAATTTAAATGTCATAGTTATAAATAACCTTTTAATCTGGCGCTTAAAATTAACTAAAACGTTACAGAATAGACCCCATAAAAGCATAAAGGGGTAATAATAATAGATTTAAATGTGTAATATGAATTGATATCTTCATTTTTGACAAATACGTTTATTAAACATTAAGTAAATAATTAAAATAACCAAAAAATGTTGACGGCTGTATTGCATTTAATAATTAAAAAAAAAATTGCACAAAATACAAGTCTTTCTTTTTTAATTAAGTAAATAAATTTAGCAAACATTTGTTTAGAATAAAAATAGTAAATTTTAGCTCTCTATTAAATGTTTATTAGGTTTTTGACAAATAATTAACAAAATTAAAAAGCGAATGCTAAAATTTGTCACCAACCCTCATAGTACGCCTCTAGAGTAATACTCAAAAATTTAGATTTATTAATATAAAATTTTCTAATGCCGTTTTTGAATTAGAGAAAATTTTAATTTTTGATTTTAAAACAACATCCTGTATCTCTGAAACTAAGTTCTTAAAGGATTCATGTTTCTATATCAAATTGTATAAAAAAACTGGTCATCTGTGGTTTGGTATTTTATTTTTTTTTTTTTTTTAACTTAAAATGAAATGCTTGAATAATAAATAATCTATTTTTTACTGTAGTTTAAATTTTTTTAATTTATATTTGAATGCTAAAGAGAAATTATATATTTTGCCAATTATAATACCAATATTTTAATGAAAACTAAAAAAAAACTGCTTAAAACAAATTTATAGATAACTCACATCAAGATTTTTATTTCATTTACCGTAACATTACCTATTTGCAATTCCATCACTTTGAAAAACGAAATGTAACCCAATAACTCAATTTTATTACCTCTAGGTTTAACCCACGGTGGACAAAAACTGCTCAAAATACTATCCATAATTTTAATCAACACAATTATCTTCACTCATAATTATTGAAATTTTTGCCGAAACGGAATCACACGAACGAAGATATAAAAAAGATTCAGGCATAATACATGCACCGTTACCGATCACCTACTAATAAAAAAACGACGCGATAAAATATTCGACAAGATCGTATCTAATCTGCTGATAAATTTGTAACAAATCAAATAAATTATTTATCATTATTCAATACGTATCGATTTAAGTAAAAAAAGATTTCGT